TGTTGACATTCAGGTCTATCTTTCATCATTTATCATTTACCTTTGTCAGATATTCCAACTCCTATATATTTATCACTGCTGCACTTTATTTCCTTTAGTTTGTCTGCTACTGCATATTCCATCACACTCACTCATGTACTGTATGCACACACAAGTAGTTCATTGCATGTAAATACCCTTCATTTACTCTTGTGTTTAGTGGCACAATGGTGTTCTACTTCAACAGGGTTTAATTATGAAACTTTGAGATACTGTATCTGGCATATGATTCATACTTGGGAAAGTTGAATTAACTCAGATTCACATAAACCAATGAATAGCAAACCTGTTTGTGCCCTTGTCTTGATAATACTATTTCCTGTGTTAGCAAATGACTTATTTGAGTGCCGAAAAAGCATCGTTAGGTTTACATTAAACAAATGTTATTAAACTCACCTAAGAAAGGGAAAATTCCACAATATCAATCAACCATCCACTGTATACTTTAGATGGTTGTTATTATGAACACTTTTATACGTCACAAGTCTCTTACAAAGAAAGCTGTGAATGATAGTATATGTTATTACTACGATAGACCCGTAACAATGATTGTAGTTACCCCGTCACCAGCCCCCTCAAACCACCCCTCAAATTACACCCGAACCCACCCCCCACCCACACAGTCACCCTCTGTATTCTCATATGACAACACAGAAAGCACCCCTAAAACATCACAATACTAAACATATTAAGACCTAATCATGTCAACGTAATTAAGTTTGTGTTTAGGTTTAAACACAGTTTTTACAGTGTAACAGTCACCTTAGTAGTTAAAAAATAGCAGGTGCCTAAAGACATGACTTACATACACATACAAAATGGAGGGGATGTTAGGAAAATATTCTGCAACCCCTAGTTTTCATATGGCAACACAAGGGGTTACACCGAGCAAACGCATGTTTAGATTTTGAACATATTTGTACATGTTTCCAGCAGAGTGCTTCAGCGGTATTATGACTTCAAACCAAATTATAAAAGTCTTTGTAATAATAGTTTATTGTTGTCAGTAGGTGATGCAGTTTTACATTGTTTTGTGAAAATCAAATAAATTTACAAAGTTAAAAAAGGTAACGCCATCTCACGCTTCAAGCCGTCGATTCACGACGGTTACCGTATGAAGCTGTGTAACCAACTCGGTAAGCACTCCATTTCATGGCTTGCAGTTGCTCTTGTCTGCACACATTAGTGAGAGACAACAGTAACAGTCACCTTAGTAGTTAAAAAATAGCAGGTGCCTAAAGACATGACTTACATACACATACAAAATGGAGGGGATGTTAGGAAAATATTCTGCAACCCCTAGTTTTCATATGGCGACACAAGGGGTTACATTTGCAACTGCCAGTGTTCATTTGCCCAAAACGACCTGAACTCACTTTTTAAAAAGGTTGTATGATTGCACCATACACCATTGGCAATGTGTGTAAGATTGTACTCTGGGCCAGGGGCCTCCAACTGTGAAACGTGTGAAGCCCATTTCTGGTGTCCCCCTCCGTGATTTTGCTGGAATATAGCTAAAAGCGGCGTAAAACCATACTCCCTCACTCACTCACTCCAAAACTGTGTGTCTGTCTGGCTCACCATTTTGAGACAAGTAGATGAGTTCGAGTGTTGGCATATAATGGCCTTTAAATGTTATTGATCTAATTTTGATGACTTACAGAATTTAGAAATTTATGGCATGTACTTCATGAAGAAGGGTGGATTGTTAAGTTTATCAGTGTTAAACGATATTTGTTTATTTTGTTTACCTGTCAATTACCTTTTCGTAGTAGTGTGTCAATAAAAGCTATTTCAGTAGTAAATGCCACTGAAAATCATTATATGTTATTTTTCACCTGTATTGTTTATGTTATTTGCTTGTTCTTTGCAAATTGTATTCATCAGCTGTCAACAGGGATCGCAAAATAACAGAGAAACGAGCCTTTATCTAAGTGTAGTAAAACTTACTACAAGCTCAGTAAATATAATATTGTAGTCAGTAAATTATGAGAAGATCAGTTAGGAGAGATTACTATCCATCTTTCAAAGAAAGATGGATAGTAATCTCTACTAACTGATTTGTAAAGTGTACTTGCCTACGATAGGTCACCAAAACTAGTCTAATTAGCAAATATTTACTAGGTGGTTAGTAAAATCGCCTAAAAAGTTAGTGTCTGAGTGGGCAGTGAAATTAATGAAGTAAGTAAACTTCACTAAGAATTGCTGTCAGTGAAGGATGGTTAATTAATTGCTGAGACAAGCAGTACGTGGTATAAGGTCTGGGTACGAAATAGGTGTAATACGCCCGTGAAGCACTCAAACAGAAAGGTAGTGAGGTGACACAAGACCAGTGAATTTAATGATAGTGCGAAGTGTGTTCCTTCACCTGTGTATGTCAACACTCCAGTGACAATGTATACTGTTTGTTTGTTTGTTTGTTGCTTAACGCCACACTCAGCAATATTCCAACTATATGACGGCGGTCTGTAAATAATCGAGTCTGGATCAGACCATCCAGTGATTGACATCATGAGCATCGATCCACGCAATTGGGATACGATGACATGCATCAACAAAATCAACTAGGCCTGACCACCCGATCCCGTTAGTCGCCTTTTACGACAAGCAGCGTCGCCTGTTACGGCAAGCATGGGTTGCTGAAGACCTATTCTTCCCCGGATCGTCACGGGTCCAGTTATACACTGAATCAGTTGGGGTGATTCATTTAATAATTGTGTGAAGTGTGTTCCTTCACCGGTCTATATTTTAACACCCCAGTGTCAACTGTACACTGAACCAGTAACGAATCCATTATGCCGAAATGTTTTCACTATCTGGTATCGCACATGTCTTGTCAAAATGAAAACTTGACACTTTCAACCGTTGACGTTTAGGGTCAAAGGGAGACAACTCTCAAAGCTTAGAGGCCAAACCTTGTGGAAATTTTAAACTATAATTTTCATTAATAAAGTCATGAACTTGCTATTGATTGTTTTATTGTCCTTGCACAAAAAGCAGTATCGAATAACGAGTTTCTGTGAAATATATAAGTGAAGTGGGTTAGGGAAAATATGGGATGGCTGTTACTGACGGTATACGGTCTCTTATTAGGTCAGTAAAAACCATCTTGGACTTGTACCGACGGTATACGGTTGGTTGGTTGATTTGTTGTTTAACGCCGCACTCAGCAATATTCCAGCTTTATGACGGCGGTCTGTAAATAATCGAGTCTGGACCAGACAATCCAGTGATTAATATCATGAGCATCGATCCACGCAATTGGGATCGATGACATGTATCAACCAAGTCAGCGAGCCTGACCACCCGATCCCGTTAGTCGCCTTTTACGACAACCATAGTCACCTTTTACGGCAAGTATGGGTTGCTGAAGACCTATTCCATCCCGGAATCTTCACGGGTCGACGGTATACGGGCGCACATTGGGTTAGTAGTCCCGCTCTCGGATTGGTCAGTCTCACTTTGACGCACAATAAAAGTTGTTAAGCGTCAACATCTTTAGTATGTCAAAAAGTCCAATCTCGGACATGCTTAATGTCGTGATCTGATGAGAGGTTCAGATGTGTTGTTATTGTATAATGTTTATAGTAGTAAGATGTACATGTCTGCTTTGCCAATACCAACTCGTACATGTATTTATGTATGTGGATATACTCCAAGAGGTACATTAAACATATGTCAGATAAAGTAAATAAAAAACTTACTACTCAATTAATGTTTTACTGTGTCATTGTTTTTTCCCCTGCAACCTAGAAATAGCCTCATTTTATGTTATCCTTGTGATAAGTTAAACGTGCGTGCGTGCGTGCGTAATTACGTGAGTGAGTTGTGTTTAACAGAACGGTATTTTTTAGGATGTGTCAGCTTATGCAAGGACAGTCAAAGATGACGTCACCAATTTCGTGAATACCGAGTGAGTGAGTATGGTTTTGCGCCGCTGTAAGCAATATTCCAGCAATATCACGGCGAGGGACACCAGAAGTGGGCTTCACACATTGTACCTATGTGGGGAATCGAACCCGGGTCTTCGGCTTGAGTAGCGCACGCCTTAACCGCTAGTCCATCCCGCCGACCCTAAAAAACCACGAGCAGGGCGTTATTCTGCAAACCAAGGCTCATAATCCAGGAAATGGAGCTTGATATGATGTAGGTAATCGGGGGCATTAATAATCAGTGATGAAGACAGCTTCTCACTTACGCGCATAAAGTTTGTTTATTTGTTTGTTGTTAACCGCCACACTTAGCAAAACTCCAGGTACATGATAACAATCCAAGGATTGATATTATGAGCAACTATCCACGCCGTCGGGGTTACTGCCCGCTATCAAACAAGACCACAAGCCTGGCCATCCAGGAGGTCGCTCCTAACGCCCAGGATAGTTTGCTGGGAGCAAATGCTACCGCGGAGTCGCCATTGTTCTATGTCAGACTGATCTGCCGATTGCACTGATTTCTGTTTGAGGCCATATCATTGTTACCTATATCCCGCCCACTAGGCTAACATTCACGTGGATTTAATAAAAGATTAACCCTTCACATTTGATATTAGTTTGACAGATTGGGTAGCATCGTGGTTAAAGTGTTCATTCGTCACGCCGAAGGACCAGTACGATTCGCCAAAACAGATAAAATGTGTGAAGCCTATTTCTGGTTTTAAGTGATTTTTCGGAATCCATGCTTGTCGTAAGAGGCGACTGACGGGATCGCATGGTCAGGCTCGCTGACTTGGTTGATACATGTCATCGATCCCAATTGCGTAAATCGATGCCCATGATGTTAATCACTGGATTGTCTGGTTCAGATTTGATTATTTACAGACCACCGTTATATAGCTGGAATATTGCTGAGTGCTGCGGTTAACAACACACAAACAAGCATGATATTGCTGGGATATTGATTAAAGCGGAGTGAAACCTTACTCACTCACTCCTTCTGTTTTAAAAAAAGAAAATAACCGAAAGAAATATGCTTATATTTATTGCCACCAGATAGACTGATCAACGTTCAGTTCTGGATAACAGTAAGGTGCACGGGATGACCATCAGAACACGCTCCAGCGTGGCCATCGCAACTCTTGATCTCAAAGCCTGAGGTGCCCGGACGGACGAAGACCTCAACGTTATGACTGTGACCAGAGTTGGTGGATGTCTTGACGCTGACGGAATGCCCAGCACCGAGTGACTCCATCTGTGCAAAGGTGAGGTTAATGGTGTGGGTGTGGTGTCCATGAGCTAAATCTGATGGGCCTACACGGAAGTGGACGCTCGGCTTTGCAGTTTCCATGGCGGTCGCATTGGCAACGGGAATTGGGTTCTTCTCAAACGTTGCAGCGTGCTTCTGTACGTTCATAGCGATGTCCTTAAGAGCATCCAGTTCCTTCCAGACGCTCATCCCCTCGCCATGCACTGGCAGAATGGGATAACGAGTCCTCACGGGTCCAAGTCCTGGGATATTCGGAAGTATGGTGCGGGCTCCCGAAGCCATCACCTGTCTTGGTGTTCCCTTTGAGTCCAAAACACCCGCCACACGATGGGCTGAGTTGTGATCATTCAAACCAGCTGGGTCAAAGAACTCTTTAGGTATATGATACCAGTTCATGTTGTTGGAGCCGTCATATGCAGTGGCCTGGGTCAGCCCACCATGCCTGTTGTTAGCAGTGACAGATTTCCCATAGTTGGTGCTGTGATCACCCTTGTATTGGATGTTGTAGGGGTTCCAGGTATGGAGAGGGGTCAGGTATATTATCTCAAGGGGTATAGCAGCAGTGTACTGTCTCGTGATGGTTTCGCAATCCGTTTTCCTAGTTGTACGGTTCTTATGACAATCTATAAAAGTCATGCTTGCCACTTCCGGCTGGGTAGTCTGTGCAATGAAGAAAAACGAATCAGCAAATCCCCTGTGGACAATCTTTACTCCCATAGCCCCGTTATCCTGAACCTTGTACCATCTGTGATAGTATGCCGTGTTGAGTGGGGTAAAGTTAGCAAACTTGATTTCATCGACTGTCTCACCGAGGAAATAATCGTGAATGACTGCGTCATAGTTGTCTTTGCCTGGGATCTCCTGCATGACCTTGTCCAACAACCCATAGACGTAGGATTGATCGTCGGACTTTTCATTGAGGTCAAACCTGGCTCCTGGACTGTGCCTGTATTCTTCATAAGTCAGGTTGTTGGCCATTCTAACACTCACATCGTCCACCAGCTTGAGGTTCTTCAGTGGGATGTCTTCACTGATAGGGTGGCATGCGACCCTGTAGTTCCATTGGGCAGTATCTATTTTACCATCGATAACGTTCATGACATACCGGGGTAGGTAGGCAAAGTCTTGGGTGCTGCTTTGAATTCCAGAGTACGCTGAAAATCTGGAAAGCAATTTGAAAGCATATTTAATCTTGTTTTATCAGGGAAATATCTGAAATATCTAAATTGTGAATTATATTTTATCTGATTTTATCAGGGAAATATCTGAAGTATGTAAATATATATAAATACCTTACTTGTTAAGACATACATGTATTTGTGAAGATGTGATAATCCTTTTTTACTTACTTTCTATAACATGATACACAGTGGATGATACGATAAACAGTCAGACATCACAACATTTTCCTTCATTCCGAAACATCTGGTATCATGACAGAATGACATGACTAAATCCAATTGGCTTGAGTATCATGTACAAGTTGGAAATAAGATAATGGATATGTATTATAGCTCTCATTAATACTGAACACCAATAGTGAGTGAGTATGATTTTACACCGCTTTTAGCAATATTCCAGCACTATTACGGCGGTATCGAACCCGGGTCTTCGGCGTGACGAGCGAACGCTTTAACCACTCAGCTACCACACCGCCCCCGAACGCCAATAATTACGACGTTGACGTTGTGACGGTGTTAGCTCGACACGCCGAAGGTCACTATTGGATTCCTCACATGGGTGTAAAGCCGATTTCTGGTGTCCCCGCCATGAGAAGGCTGATGTATAACCTAAAGGGAAGTGAACCCCTGCAAACTCACACAATCATGTGACTGTAACATAGGTATTGGTTGACAAAGCGTGACGCACCTGATCTTCTGTAGCATTTCATCCTGTGTCAGGGCATCTAAACGGTGCATGCCTACCTCGGCAGGCTCATACATCTTTTTCAAATCCCTCATCATGAATCCCTCCAGGTAGCACAGTGCTGGCGTGAAGTGGCTCTTGTATGGTCTGTGGGTTTCATTCTGATTCTGCCAGGCAGAGAACCACTCCCGCATCTCCGCCACCTGTTCCTTAGCGGTGCTGAGACGACTGACGGCGTCGGGGACGGGCGGGAAGGGTACGTCTCTTACTGCATTCATCACCTTCTTGTTGTCCGGCATTTGGAGCTTGTAGTCGTTGTGTCTGAAAATAAGCTGGTTATAATGCAACAAGAATAAAAGTGAATGAGTGAGTGTATTAGTGAGGGAGTGAGGGAGTGAGTGAAGGGCGAATACTTACAGAATTAGTAAAGTTATTGCACCACCAGGGGTACACGATTATCTAACTAATCATGAAGCACAAGACTAACTCCGTCGAGTTACGATGACCAATTATTAGACAAATAATTCAATATAACCATAAGATAACTACGTAAAATTGAGTTTAGAAAGAGGTACGGCATACCTATACCCAGAAACCAAAAAGAGGAAAACTTTATCACTGGTATTATGTTCTTGGGGAATAGAACCCCAATTATACTGGAAACAACTAGATCCAAACCTTGTCCTGAAATCGATGCCATTGAGGACAACATCCATTTCCCCAAGTCCCATTGTCCGATATTGTTCAGGGTGATCATGAATGGCACCAGCCTGTTGTCCCGAGTGAGACTCTGTGTCATACGACCTTGGACCGTCCCTTGTGTACCGGATCTGTTTCACACCAGAGTTGTAGCCGGTCCGGATCCGCTCATTGTAAGACAGCTGCTGAAGCATGACCTGTCTAGCAACAGTTTCCATCAATTTCTCAAGGACATCCATCTTTTCATGCATCAGATCTTCAAGTGTCTTCGGTTTCGGGGTTGTCGTGGTGCGGCGGTTACGGTGAGCAGCCATTGCAGTGCCCACCAGGCACACCAAAGCGAGTACATGATGAAAGCTCATCTGAAACATATTCAAGAGTTAGGTAGTATGTTATTACATCGCCAGTATCGACAATCCAGACGTATCGCGGTGATGGGGGACACAAAGAACTAGCTTCATACACTGTAGAAACCAATGCGCTGAAGCGAAACCAGTGTCTCCGGCATGCTGGGCCAACGCTTTAACCACGAGGCTACCCTACAATCCCGTTAAGGATCTAGAACGTGTGCGGTCTGACATCCCTTCTGAGGAGCTACGCTACTCCTCGTCTAAAGTGATCCGAGAATAATATTGATTCATCGGCTGTAAAGGGGAGAATGTTTCATTGACGTAAAAGATTATTATTATGCATGTGTATGGTCTAGTTAAGGCATCCGGAGCGGCAGGGTAGTCAAGTGGTTAAAGCGTTCGCCTCGTCACGTCGAAGACCCGGTTCTCCATTCCCTACAATGTGTGAAGCCCATTTTTGGTTGATGCTTGATAAGCTTTAAATCATGTTCCAAGTTAGGCGTAACGACTCATTGAACCATCGATGCACTTACTTGCCCGTGGGGCAAGGGCAATACATTCGAGTTAAAATACTCATAGCGACAGGACACAAGATTAGCCTATTCATAGTTTCGATGAACTCAACAAAATGAGAAATATTCCGTCGGAAGTGATCAGTAAGTTTTCACGTGTATGATGAAACAATCAAAGCTTTATCCCTATCTCCCCAACAAAGATTTTAGGGCCAGTGAACTACGAAGTGTTTAACATGGCTGATTCAGAAGTTGTATGTAAGTTCTCTACTTACCATTCTGACCACTCTGAATAGCATGCCAATATTTCGCTGGATCTTTATACTTTTCTCTTATCTTGCATGTTATCCGTTAGATTACATTTTGTTATTCTGGTTCAATTTATCACGAAAAGATACCAAGCTGTTGTGCTCGGACAGGGTTATCTCCCCTGTATCTGACTGCAGCCTATCCCGTGGACAAGCTATCTTTGGAAACATGACAAATATGCATTACAATCTGCATGCTCTCAGCTATAGCCTGATATGTAAGACATTCCAAGCAACATGTGGTTAAACCTAAACATGGAGACCGCCCCCGTGGTCTAGTGGTAGAGCGTCCACCCGGAGAGCGGAAGGTCTGGGGTTCGATCCCCAGCCGCGTCATACCAAAAGACGTTAAAAGATGGTACTTGTTGTTACCCTGTCTGGCGCTCGGCATTTAGGGGCTAAAACAAGGACTGGTCGGCTCGGAGTCAGTATACTGTGTCTGAGTGGGGTATTCATGTTAAACTGCGACATGGTATCTCAGTGAGCTAGCACTATAACTCGGCATCAGTCCGGACTAGTACAAGCCGCCACACACACACACACACACACACACACACACACACACACACACACACACACACACACACACACACACACACACACACGTGCATGCACGTCACTATATAAGTGCAATATATAAGTGCAATAATCTTGGACTCGACGTTAAACCCCATTTCACCTCACCGTAACATGGAACCCCTTCTCAGGGGCTGTCACATAAATACGGAGCACAGACACACAACTCGCTTGCATCTGTTCGAGTAATGACAATGTAGGAGTATTGAGCTGGCCAAACTTTCTGCTTGTCCGTTTCTGTGTGATGTCCATACTGGTTAAAAAACCCAAACAAAATGATGCACAAATAGAATCATTTTGGAGGCAAAGTTGTCTTCTCTTTTACGAGCAGTAATTGACATCAGTCTAATGCAAAATGCCCACAATGAAACAGGTAATCAGCCTCCCCATCTTTGTTGTATTTGTTTTTTTGTTTGTTTGTTGTTTAACAATATTCTAACTATTGACGGCGGTCTGTAAATAATCGAGTCTGGACCAGAAAATCCAGTGATTGACATCATGGACATCGATCCACGCAATTGGGATACGATGACATGCACCAACCAAGTCAGCGAGCCTGACCACCCGATCCCGTTAGTCGCCTCTTACGATAAGCCTAGTCGCCTGTTACGACAAGCATGGGTTGCTGAAGACTTATTCTACCCCGGATCATCACCAGTCTCTTTGTTGGAACCCCTGAGCACGCGTATGTTGCTGTAGCAACCAGAGACAGACCAGAGGTCATCATCGGGTTGAACACACCATGTACAAGAGAACCAAGGCACTTACACTGACGAATCACCAGTACCTGAGCAAGTGGGGACATGGGTGGCCCAGGCTTCTAAGGCGCTGCAATTCGGTGTGCAGCGTTCGGTCCCCTAGGTATGGCAGGATCCAAAAATCGTAATCTCAAATCCCTGATCCGTGCTGATTATGACCCTGGGTTTGTCATTAGTCTGGCATTTTTCGATGAACTGCCAATTTCCGGTACACTCAAATAATATACTGAACAAAAAGGTTAGGGATCATGAACAGTTTTTCATATTTTTATGAAAGCGTATGATAAGTTTTCAATACAAATATATATATCTCGAAATTCATGATCCATCATATTTTTGATTCAGTACAGGATATTTGAACAAAGGAATATTCAGAGTCTGTTGTAAAGGATTATTTAGCACTTACTAAATTACACATCACGATCAACACAAACACAAACCATCAGATATTCAAAATCACACTTTCCCACAAGTCGTTATATAAATGCAATAACCCTATTACGTGAAATCTTAATCTTCATAATTATAAGTGCATAATTGGCATCACCTGCTCTAATGGATATTATCGTTAATATTATCGTTAATATCAGTTCAGCAAGTAAGTGTTTATATACAACACAGTAACACCGTTAGAACCGGCGGTGCACTAAATATGACCGTCAGGTAATTCGAGCCGAGGCACCTCGTCAACTGGAGCGAAACGTGTGGTAATTGAAGTGCATTATTCAGACAATTGTTCCTATCACGCGATGTGACACAGCATTAGTCTCCGCTCACAAACGTTAAATTCATTATCCATGTTCCATATATGTAGATTGCATCGCTAGGCCATGACCATGGCTAGATAAAGGTAAATACCTAGTAAACACGTATCCATGTTTTGTTGCTACACACAATCGGACGCGCCTCATGTTTTGTGGGATAGGTTAATATATTTCCTTTTCTCTCACCACTTGCCGAGATGTGACTTGACGTTCGTTACTGACATGTAAGTACACACACAAGTATGAGTTGTCGGGATTGTTTTAGTGTTACGCATCTTAGTGTGTTTGTGTTCGTAACAGGACAAGACAATTTCGAGGTAAAGACGCGCCCGTGTTGCATTGGAACGTTGTTGGCAGTGTTCATGTTTCTATTCACACAGTCTGTTCGTGGCCATTCTGCAGACGTTGATCACTCTGTTTGGCCTGCACGTCCACCATTACACAATCATGACGTATACCTACACAGAACCCGTACAAATCCAGGTTAGAATTGATCTTCAGCAACTCATGCTTGTCGTAAGAGGCGACGAACGCGATCGAGTTGTTAGCATTGACTATGTTGATGCCTGTCATCGTATCACAATTACGTTGATTGATGCTCATGATGTCAATCACTGGATTTACTGGGCCCGACTTGATTATTTACAGACCGCCGTCAATAGATAGAATATTGCTGCACAACAAACAAATAAACAAACAAACATGAACAGTGATTTATATGGTATATTTGATAGTGTTTGGTTCAGTCCACCGTGAGACCGTTTTAGTCTGGTATATGCACAAATCGGTTTTGACCAATTCCACAAAGCAACTGAATGACTACCGAAACAAAATGACAGTTACAGTGGAGTTGAAATCTCCACATGGATACAATATGTCAAGCATTTTTCTGGTGTCCCCAGTCCTGATATTGCTGGAATAGGAATAAAAGCGGCGTAAAATTATACTCACTCACTGTGTATTTTCAATGTTAGTTTTACCACAACAATAAAAACATACCATTTTAGAAATTTGAACATAAAATTCTGGAAGTGTTACTTGTTTTATAAAACGCTCGGTTTAAATTAAATTATCCATGATGGCTTAAAGAATTGGCGTTCATTGCTCAAATGTCATGTTTGTAGATGCTATGATATATAATATATGAATTGTGTGATGTACACTGTGACTTTCAGGGTCATGCAGATGTACAAAGACAAAAAATACGAACCTGCCAATTACAACAAGAAGATAACAAACTACGAAAGTAAAATAAAGAAGTACGAGGTGAAGAACTATGATACGATCAAGCAGTATGATACTATAAGAAACTATGACAAGATACGGACGTACGACAAGATTACACCTTATGCGGGTTATAAGGAATACGTACCACCTTGGTCACGTGACAAAGAACCGTACGTAAGAAAACCAGCCAAGCAACCAGAACCTAAAACACAGAAGAAACCCACCGAGGAGGCAGTAGAAACCCCACCAGTGGTATGTATTTGCTATGCATATTCAGTAGGCATCGTTCATCTTGAGTGAGTGAGTGATGATACTTTATGAGACAGCGAAAGCAAGGTGGGAGGTCACCAAAATGTTTCACAATTACATGAGGGGAAGGGGTGGGGGGTGGGGGGTGGGGGTGGGGGTGGGGTGGGATGGGGGTGGGGGTGAAAAAATGACACAGTTCTATATTTTCAGATATAATGTATAATTTGAACAGTATTTACACTGAGCTGTCAAAATTTATGCAATTTAATAAAGGGGCGGTGGTAGTTGGGGTAGGGTGGGAGGTCATTAAAAAATGTTAAATGTATTTGGGGGAGGGGGACAGGAAAGATATGTTACTTAAAATGGGGGGAGCGGAGGTGAGCATCAGCAAAATATGATACAGTCCTAAGACCAACCTTAACCCAGAGTAATTGCCTGGGACAATTTATACATATATGTCGATAAAATCTCAGGACATTAAACGACTGGCTTACCAATGCCCTCGCTAAACATAGCGACTCCACACACAATCAAATCTACCGGGAAATATAGAATATGTCTTCGCAACTACTATCAAGAGCTTCGTTATTTTCCAAAATACATATAAAATTAAGAAACCTTGATAATCCGAAATCCTCGACATCGTCGAATTTTTATCGAGTTTAATGTAGTTCGTGAAAAGCAGACTTAGAATATTATTCAATCAACATAATACAGTACCACTAAGGATTGTGTCGAAGCGAGGTCCTAAACGATCTATCTTGACAATATAGTTCGAGTTGACAATGTGATCCTGTACCTCTCTATGACCCATGTTGGGATTCAGGGTCCCCAGAAACTTGTCCCCAGCAACCTATTCTTGTTGTAAGGGGCGTTTAATGGGTCGTTGATGATGATATCAGTTATTGATTTGTATAATCCTGACTCAGTTATTTAAAGGCCTCTGCCACAAACTAGTAGTTGGACTATTTTTGAGTGCGGCGTTAAAATACCAACAATAACACCCGATAAAGCAAACGCCTGTGTCATAAGAATAGTACTAGCGGAAACGATTAAATGTGCTTCATATAAAGTGGTATAAATGTGACGTTATTGAAAAGAACATACTTTTGGGTCATTCGCCTTATCAATGTTTTATCGCAACAAATTCATTGACAAAACCTACACCTGATAGCAGGTGAGGTGAGGTGAAATTGGGTTTAACGTCGCGTCCAAGATTACTGCACTTATATAGTGACGTGCATGCACGTGTGTGTGTGTTTATTGCTGCTTGTACTAGCCCGGACTGATGCCGATTTATAGTGCTAGCTCACTGAGATACCATGTCGCAGTTTAACATATACGTATACCCCACTCAGACACAGTATACTGACTCCGAGCCGACCAGTCCTTGTTTTAGCCCCTAAATGCCGAGCGCCAGACAGGGTAACAACAAGTACCATCTTTTAACGTCTTTTGGTATGACGAGGCCGGGGATCAAACCCCGGACCTTCCGCTCTCCGGGCGGACGCTCTACCACAAGGGGTTGTGTAGCAACTCAATTAACGATGCCTATATCGGATGTGACCACCGTCGACGTTGATACGGGCGAGGCAGCGGCGATGCATTGAAGGCATCAGGAGGTTGTCCCAACTGAGATAGCTGTACCGGCTGATGATCCTGTCGTAGGCGTTTGCCATCTCATCCCAGAAATTTCTAGCGGCGAGAGGTTTGGAGAAACAGTCGGCAACAGCAGTACAGCAATGTTTTACTGCCTAAAAAGGTGTGTTACAACAGGTGCATGTGTGGCTTGCATTATCCTGCTGCAACGTAAATTCACCTCCCTGCAATTTGCACAAAAGGTGGAACATGATCTCGAACGATGACGTCCCGGTGACGCACGCTATTCAAATTGCCATCAACAATGATGAATTGTGTTCTTTCCATATCATTACACTTCTAGCCTTAAACTGACGACGTTGAGTAAGGATAAGGTCGCTAAAACACTCGCCTGCCTGCCTGTAGACCCTTGCACGACCATCAGATGGACTCATGTGTGAATAGTATACTGTTCTATATGTGCCTTTTGAAACCCAGATGGTGTTTACACTAAGCTAGGCGTGCCTGACGGTGACGTGGGAGCAAACTTGGGCGTATCGCTGGACGTCGAGGCCGGATGTTGTGTTCCCTTAACATATTGCGTACGGTTCTGCCACAAATTGGTCTCAACCCTGTAAAAACTGTTAATGTGGCAGTTTGGTATCGATTCCGTAGGTGCACCAACCGAATGTGGTTATCGTGTTGACGTGACGTCACATGTGGATGATCGGCACGTGGCAAGTCAAGAGTGTTGCCCTCAAAGAGATGATAAAGTGTTTCGATGAACATGTCTGGCCATTTGTTTTGCGCCATTCCTGTTTGCAGTATAGCCACGGCGCGTAAACGCTGATTCGTAGCAAGCCGTTGCATTGCGTTAGTGATTTTTACGGTTAAACAAATATGTTTTTATGAGCATCTGGTAGCTAACCAATCATTGTGTGCTCTTCACATTAAAAACACACGCTTCTGAGTATCATGTTCCCTGCACACACTCAAACATCCACGTACAATTTATGAAATACGACCTTAATGTGAAGGAGATGTCTTCATGCATGTATATTGAAAGATGCAGTATTTAATTTCAGAATAAGTTTATGTAAAGTGACGGCCAAAAGAAATTTTACCACTTTAAAAATGAAATTGCAAAAATGTAAAAACACAAGTATAAACTAAATCAATGTACAACTCATCGTCCAAACACAACAATGCTCTATGCAAAAAGTAATACACGTCCACGGCACGTTTGTTTTGTAGAAATACCACGACTGACGCCTGAACAACGCGAGCGGGCCCTGAGTATGATACAGATAGGAGCCACCCATGCCCACATTGCTAGGACTTTTGGTTGCTCCGGTGTTACTGTAACTGACGTGATGCAACGTTACAGGCAGGCCGAAGCCAGGGTAACTACAGCCCAATGAAGACCGGCACTCGCGTACTTTGCATCTCCGAAATCGATAGGTGATGAGACGTCATCAGCGACGAATGCCTGAGGGCATATGGTTAGTCGACATACAGTGGCCAGGTGATTCTGGGCTCAAGCATTAATGGCTAACATACCTTACAGAGGACAGTTATTGACAGCATCGTCGTCAGAAATTGACATGGGCCCGAACAGTAGGTCGTTGGCAGCGACGTGACTGACAGATTGTCGTCTTCACTAATGAAAGCAGGTTTTGTCTGTTCAGAGCTGATGGAAGACAACGTGTTTACCGCCGAAGAGGAGAACGAAAGGCGGAATGTTTGCGTTCAGGAGGTCGTGCCGTATGGTGGAGGAGGTGTTATGGTGTCGGGAGGAATTTGTTGGCAGGAGAGAACACCACTGGTCATCGTTAACGAAAATTTGACTGCTCAGTGTTATATGGATGACATTCTTCGTCCGATTGTCCTACCATTTCTACAACAGCTACCACGTTGTGTCCTTTATTGGCACGAAAACGCCAAACCCCAAACAGCCCGAATCGTACAGAACTTTCTTGCAGCCAACAACGTCAACGTGTTGCCGTGGCCTGGACGCTCCCCAGACATGTCCCCCATAGACAACCTCTTGGATGTCATGGATCGTCGTGTTTGACAGCGAACACATGCTTCAGCCAACCGACAAGAACTAATCCAGGCCCTTCAAGAAGCATGGCGACGTTAACCACGTGACGTCATCAGCATCCTACTTTTTCTATGCGCGAGAGAGTTATTGCGTGTCTTGTAGCAGGGGGTGATTATACAAACTATTAATGTGACGTGTCACTGAACCTGAGTTTACATGTGTGTGCCCTTTATCCATTACGTAGAACGCTTGCTTTTGCTACCCCAACTCAATTCAGGCAACTACCATGTTAATATTTGATGCTCTATACTGTCATTTTAAATGGTTATTTCGTTGCGGATTTGACCTTTTCCAATACATCTTTCTTTTGTGTTTTTATAACCAGAGTGATTTGAAAGCTTCTTTTGGTCGTCAGATTATATTGAACTTTATATGAAGCACAGTTACTTTGCCCGTTGGTATATAATAGAAAGGTCAGTGGAATATGTGTACATTATTCTAATGCATTGTTTCAGAAGAAGGATCCGGACTTTGCATCCCTGGGTTCTATACAGCGATCTCTACAAATATTCCAAGAACGACTTTAGTACAGATTAACCTGCGTTCGCAGTGCACGACAAGGTACACAGGAACTTGTCCTTGACGCAGAAGGTGTGTAGTGTGAGATGTCAAATATAACCTCAGGAGCTGACTTACGTCACATAGCATGAGGAAGACACTGTAATCATCCGACCCTCAACAGACAACAAACATATCGTTATGAGTCGAATCTTTACTACAGGTCAAAATGTGCTCATACACTAAAAGCCAACATAATCGTTCCTGACTTCGACCATTGTCAATGTGTTGTTATAAATGCTTATCCGCCAAACAAACATTGTTGTGTCATCGCTTCTGTCCGCGATCCACGTGTTCACGCTGTTCTTCAGACTCGTCTTCCACACGAAAACACCAGGTGTCATCACCCATGTTCTCTATCTTCGTCCTTCTGGTATCCTACAGACTCGTCATCCACACGATAACACCAGGTGGCATCACCCATGTTCTCTATCTTCGTCCTTCTGGTATCCTACCGACTCGTCCTCCACACGATAACACCAGGTGGCATCACCCATGCCCTCTACCCTCGTCCTTCTGGTATCCTACCGACTCGTCCTCCACACGATAACACCAGGTAGCATCCCCCATGTTCTCTATCTTCGTCCTTCTGGTATCCTACAGACTCGTCCTCCACACGATAACACCAGGTTTCATCACCCATGTTCTCTATTTCGTCCCTCTGGTACCCTACAGACTCGTCCTCCACACGATAACACCAGGTGTCATCGTCCTTGTCCACGATCAGTGTCCGGTAGCTTGTGTGTTAAGCATACCTTTGTCAGAGCACTCGCGGTGTCAGCATCTCTAATAATGGGGCCCCTGATTCGACAAAAGACTAGAAGTCCACCAAGAAGTCAAACTTTGAATTGTGATCTTAAATAAATTTTGTTTGTTGGAGACACATTTTTCGTTCATCTTAAACAGACATGATGGGAACTAGGTGGGTTAGTTTTGATGCAAACATCATCATAAATTATTGATTTTTTATATGCAGATACTGGATATGTGTGCATGTAAAATATGAGTGGGTGGGTGAATGTATGTGAGGCTTTGTGCCGACTACATATGAATGAAATAAACACTATGGTTGTGGGCGACGTGTTTCCCAAATAACGTTAAAATTCTCAATACTGTTCTATCAGTGTCCTTTCTCATCCAAAGAATTTGAACTCCTGGTATTCACACGACACAAATCACTTACACGTGTACATTGCCACATTATTGTACCTCAACCTCATAGTGATATTGAGTACAACTGATTAAGGAAAATGTGTTCAGGATGTAAACTGATACTAGACATGTTTAGATCAAGACATGATTAGGGATGTGTTGAAATCCTAGAAATTAAACATGTTTAATAAAGTGCATATTCATTGGGCATGAAGTCAAATATGGATAAGATGTTATAATTATATAGTGAAATTATATTGGTACAAAATAAACGTAGCAATATACAAATACACCAAGCTGAGTTAAGTTACTGTTGACGAGGAAAATTGACACTTGTGATGACAAGAGTCTCCGAAGCAAGAGAGGTAGCGTGAAGGACTACAAATAAAGAGGTTGCAAGATTGTTTCCAGCCGAGGTTTCAAAAGTGTTGTGTTCATAAATATGTTGTTGCTGTGTGGCTAATAGTATACTTACAGGAAAGCTGACAAGGAAAGCATATCTGATTACGACGACAGACTCTAAACCTTTTTAAGTTACCCCCTCCCCGCCCCCCCTCCCCGCCTACTTCTATATGCCTATAAAATGCTAAAAACATATAGAAAGCACCCCCTTTTAAATTACCTACAATGTCCCACATTAGCGGTTAAATACAATCCTAAACTTGTTAAGACCCTAAACAAGCAAACTTATGCGACTGGGAACGTGTTAAGGTTTGTGTTTAGGATCTAAACACATTTTTACAATGTAGTAGTCTTTTGTGACCAATTTGTACAATCGCACGTATCTTCCCAGTTATCACATCGCCATGTATCAGGGAGGTTTACGTTTCTCGTAAAGGGTCAAGAAGTGTTACGCTAATGCCATATATGGATATATAAAATGATTTCACAGCCTACACCCCACCCAATGCCCGTTTACTATACAGACACATGCCTGTGTATTTCACATCCTACACTCCGCCCAGTGCCCGTTTACTATACAGTCACATGCCTGTGTATTTCACAGCCTACAACTCACCCAGTGTCCGTTTACTATACAGACACATGCCTGTGTATTTAACAGCCTACAACTCACCCAGTGTCCGTTTACTATACAGACACATGCATGTGTATTTCACAGCCTACACCCCACCAAGTGCCCTTTTACTATACAGACACATGCATGTGTATTTCACAGCCTACAACTCACCCAGTGCCCGTTTACTATACAGTCACATGCCTGTGTATTTCACAGCCTACACCCCACCCAGTGCCCGTTTACTATACAGTCACATGCCTGTGTATTTCACAGCCTACACCCCACACAGTGTGTAAGATTATTTAAGAAAGGTAAGACTGGCAACTGTTATAAGAACATTTTCCAATAGGAAGCCCAGATTCGAGAATAGATTACTGTGGTTATTATTCGAGATTATGTTTCGATACAGTGAGTGGTGGTTGGGGATGTGTTGTATGATGTAAGATGCTCACCTGGTGAGTGCCATGATTATTTTTTTCCACCCCTAATTATGAATAGTACTACCTCCGTGCGTCAAAAACATATTAGTATGTGCCTACCACGCCAACCATGTAAATGGTCGACTCTGGGACAGACAAACCAGTGGTTGATATCATGGTCATCGTCCTACGCTATCTGTATGATCAATTAGGTGATAAACACACTGTGTTTTTGTCGAGCTAGGTTAACTGTAGATTTCACCGCGCTAGATTTAATTTGGAACCGAATCGCGCATTAAATAAATCAACCTTTTGTATTTGTTTACAGTAAATCTGAATACAGTAATGATTTAGTTGGGTGCAAAACTGTTACCATATGAGTTGACTTCTGGATTTCCAAGCGACGACTCGTCACGGTCAGGATAGTGGCCACTTCTTTGATAAGGGTAAATGTTTAAAATCTTTCCTTGAAACTATAATCAGTTAACTCCCTTGTCTCGAAAACAGAATAATTGTCCGCACCAATCAGAAGCTAGTTTATTTTGTAGGTCAGATAATCCTGCCTGGCTCCAAAGAAGGGACTCGCCATGTCGCGTCCTGTAGACACCGCTGTAGCTATATGACCCCGACAACATTCATGTTATAAAGGTCAACCTGTTGTTGGTTGGAAAGCCACCAGGAAGGTAAGACATATTTTCTTGGGGGAAGTTCTACGTTGTGGATTAGCTATTTCGGGACCACATTTCAAACATTTGCTGCTCGCCTATCTATCTTTAACATATCAGTTGCGGGTATCTTTAGAAACGACGTACGGATAACGACGGTAAGACATTATTCGCCTGTAAAGGGAGTCAGAATCTCACTGCGAGTTCCGGGTGAAGTGGCGTGTCGGTCACAAGGGACGCAACTCCTTATGTTCGTAACTTCTCAAGTGAGAGCTGCTTGGCTGTCAGCCAGACAGGTGTGCGTCGAATGTGCATGCTCTGTTTGTGTTTATTGCACTTGTAATTGATCAAATTAGTACTGTTTTATACACACGGTTGTTATTAACAGATACAGATTTCCTGCGACTTATTGGTTGGCGGGATAGCCTAATGGTTAACACGTTCGCTCGCCTCGACGGACGCCTGGTGTATGAGGCTCATCTCACTTAGGTCTTGCCTGAGACTGCTCCCCTAGGCTCAGAGCAGTCCTTCCTCGTAGGCCCAAAATCACTACCGGGGCCAAAATCACTCCTCCTATACTATTTCAAATAAAAAATATTAATATTGGCTATTGCTCTTTCATTGAAATATTATGTATTACTTTTGAATTAACACGTCACACGTGACATCTATCACTCGTGACAAATCTGAAAAGATGTTTAATTTTACCCTAAAATAGTCAAATCTATCATTTTTTCACTTTAAAAGTCACTTTGTTTTTTTTCTAATCATAATAATCATATCAGGTTTATGTCAAAGGAATATGATACATCTGTACAATTTTTTACATCTTTATCAAATACAAGTAAATTATATTTCTTCTGGAACTTCTTTTCGAGAATATATTTTTTGATTATTATTTCATAATACTAGTAATCAGAGGATATTGTACCTGAACACTGTATGTTCTTTACATGTAAATTCAATACAATCTTGTGGTGTTTTCTCATTACCTGGGACTGTCTGTAGTGTCGATCTTCCCCGTTTCACTAAAGGCACGCGCACATGTAAAACCTTACATATAGTCTCTGAAATGAACATATCGTACAGAAAAAAACAGTTGTTCAGTTATCTTAATAAAAATCTAATAAAAAAGGAGCCCAGTGATTCTCTTCATGTTCAGATACTGCAGTAATCTAGACTTGCCAAACATTATAGACTTGCGTGGGCTGTATATAAATGTATCAGGGTCTGTAAGACAGACTAGTAAAACTAAATAAAGTCTTGAACACCTTGTATAGAAAAGGAATGTTTTAACATGCTATTACTGAATGTCCACAGGGACAGACTTACTGGGCAACATCTGTTAATTATGAGCTCTGTTTATGTTGTAATGTTAATATATGGACAGAACTCGGGTATACCAGATCGTAGGTGATTTTACTCAGACGTTAAACGATATGCACATTCAAAATTGACATTGTTCTCGATCATTGTCCAATAAACTATCAATATAGTTACCTCCTAAAGTTACATGAACATCTGAAAGCTTCAGACCTGTATGCCACAAACAGAACAGTAGAAGTAGAATACTGTGAGGTGAGGTGAAATGGGGATTAACGTCGCGTCCAAAATTATTGCACTTATATAGCGACGTGCATGTATGTGTGTGTGTTTGTGTGGCTGCCTGTACTAGTCCGGACTGATGCCAATTTATACTGCTAGCTCACTGAGATACTATGCCGCAGTTTAACATGAATACCCAACTCAGACGCAGTATACTGACTCCGAGCCGACCAGTCCTTGTTTTAGCCCCTTAATGCCGAGCGCCAGACAGGGTAACAACAAGTACCATCTTTTAACGTCTTTTGGTATGACGCGGCCGGGGATCGAACCCCGGACCTTCCGCGATCCGGGCGGACGCTCTACCACTAGGCAACGGAGGCGGTTAGAATACTGTGAACATGGAGGGGTGGATTTGAGCCCAACGGGGAGTGTTCTGAGTTTAGAGTGAGTGTTTGGGGCCACGTAGAGGGGAGTGACCTGACTCAGTCTCCGCTAAAATCACTCTGCAGTAAAGTTTTAAGGGATTGATTTGTACCTGCTACACAGGGTTCGATTCCCCACGTGGTAGTGATATTGCTGGAATTTCGCAAAAAGCAATGTTGAACCACACTCGTTCACTCACACACTCGTATGTCATAGGCTGTAGCTATGCTGCTTGTAGAATCATTATTTCAATAGCGTAACCGTATTTCCAGTTTAATTGTCATTGCAAATGTATTTGACAGTTCCACACTCTGTACAAATAAAATAAATGGAGGAATATCCTCTGACGAAGGCTACTTTTGCGCCTGTCGACTCCAGAATCATGTTCAAATGGATTGGTAGGTAACATAATCAAACGAATACCCTTGTGTAATCTTGAGCTACATGAACATGTAAAATAACTTGGCTATTCCTATTAAAGGTCACATACTTTCAAATGCCTCTCCGAGAGAAAGGTGTTATGTGTTAACCTTGGTGATTCAAAGTAGGAGATTTTAGCAAACCTTTCAGACCACAGGGTTTTAAAGTCTTTCATATGCATTTAGAAGTTGGAAGAACATTGAGTAAGCGTATATGGTTCCTGATATGGTTACACAAGGTAGGATTAATGGACAAAGATAATACTATAAGGATTAACCGTGACGATAACAAAGAGCTGACCAGAATGACAATGTGACAATAACAAAGAGCTGACCAGCATGACAATGTGACAATAACAAAGAGCTGACCAGCATGACAATGTGACAATAACAAAGAGCTGACCAGAATAACAATGTGACAATAACAAAGAGCTGACCAGCATGACAATGTGACAATAACAAAGAGCTGACCAGAATAACAATGTGACAATAACAAAGAGCTGACCAGAATAACAATGTGACAATAACAAAGAGCTGACCAGAATAACAATGTGACAATAACAAAGAGCTGACCAGCATGACAATGTGACAATAACAAAGAGCTGACCAGAATAACAATGTGACAATAACAAAGAGCTGACCAGAATGACACTGTGACAATAACAAAGAGCTGACCAGAATGACACTGTGACAATAAAACAATCAAGGTTTCATTTGCGAGTAATGATTAGTTTACTGCAGCACATGTTCGGTAACAGTCAGTATTCCATACCAGCAACCCCAAAGAAAAAACAGCCAACATAGATGTGACTTCACCACTGTCAATACACTTAGAGTTTTTTGTTTTGTTTAACGCGGCACTGAGCAATATTCCAGCTAGTCCAACACTTACAAACATATTACATGTCAATGTACCCAGTCTGCCCCAAACCCTTAGGGATGTGTGTGCGAGATTACATGCAAATGTTGAGACAAATACACTGGAAAGACTTCCCGCCCCTATCCACAAGGACAAGAGGCAACATCAATAAACTGTAGACGTTAAAGGAAACACGCATGTCATTAAGAGACCAATGCATCAACCTGACCAGCACGTACCCTACTGTACCAATCAGATTGGTCTAGCTGGACCAATCATAAGTAAGCAACCTTCTAACCACTCTATCGTCTATAGAGGTCACATTTACACAAGAACCTTATGAATCGTTACCTTGTGTTCCTCCCTAGAACATATACAACACTGATTCTTTGTTCAGAATTGCGCCCCTTGCGGGTTCCAGGAGCCAATCATGCAAATCTATATATCTGTGAGTGTCACACTTAGCTCGTGGGCACATGTCTTAAGCGTCACGCTTATCCTCGTGGGCACATGGTGTTGCCTGAAATCCTATATTGGAGCATCACAGTTGCTTTGTATTCTATCACCGGTGTTCCTTTTCCAAATTCAATTGAGTTTTATTCAATAAAATCGATTTATAGGCACAGGAACATATTGTACAAGTCAAAATAGGGAATTGCATCAGACATAATTTGTGTCATTGATGCGTCAAATTTGGAAATATCCTGCACATATCTACCCTAATACTTTTTGAAAGCTTTACTGAGGCCTTGAATGTTGCTTGAATCCTTGATCAAACGTTTGAGCAAGAGTCGTATGGCGCGTTTTAAAATCTCCGAAGAAAGAGCATGCTCGATTTTACCTAAAATGTTGTGACATGTACACATCAAAGGCTGGAGCTGCTGGAATGCTGCTCGACATGAAGGGAAAGTTGACCATCGGAACGTTGAAGAAGAGTGTTTGTTACTCTGAATCTTCATGAATCTTCATGCATTGATGTAACTATGAAACAATTAAGGCGTTCTCACGTCTCCTTTATTTCTAGTTCAGGTGGGTAAATCAGTGGAAGGGAATTTGCAATTTGATGGTTACTGAACAATAGCAGGCTAAAGTTAAACTTAAGCGATTTGTTTTACTTTGCCAATCTGTGCAGAAATTCATATGCATGAAGAAACAGATCAGCAAGAAGGGAGGTGCAATTAGTGCACACGGGGATGCCTAAAACTCGTACTTCTTGCCTAAATGTCTTACCCCCACATTTTACATAGGTGTTATCAATGAGGAAGCCAACCATTCCAGCATGTCTTGTAGCGTCCGCCAGATATAATTTGCATAACAAAGTATCTGTTTGTTAGTAGAAACGCGGGTAGTTTCATAAGTTGTTTATGTGTACTATATATTTAGGACACATAATCATTCAATTATATGAGATCCGATATTAATTCTAGAGATGAAAACATATGTATGTTTTAATGCAGATGGCGACTCTTGTTGCTCCATTGGTCTTGGTGTGCCTTCTGGCAGGATCCCTAAAAGCTGCCAGTGACCAGTGCTCTGAATTCTGCTATCCCGGCATGAGTTGCTTCCCTTCTCAGGAAGCAGTGGCTAAAATGGCAGCTTCTTTAGACGATGGTTTTGGTGCTCTCCTTTGGCCAGGTTCCCCACTTTATGGCAACCTCACCATCATGAAAGATACGCTCTACACAAGGTTCCCTTCCTATATAATTCTGGTGAGGTCAGTCCAGGATGTCCAGAAGGTGATGCTCTTTGCCCGGAAGTACGACCTGAGAGTAACCATTCAGTCGTCCGGTCACGACTACATCGGACGGTCAACAGGGGACGGTAGCATCATGATCAACCTCAGCAGGATGCAAGGGTAAGAAAGCACCAATCTTTTACATTTTATATTGTTTCCTTCGAGGCACTAACTGAGTTGCTTTTACAAAATAGTTGATTATTAGCAAATATAGCCCTATCTTAAATAAACCCCATCCGGACTTTTGCACAACCTTTTTCGGTTTTCCATGTGATTTTCAGGATCGACATAAACCTAAATTCTCCATTGAACGCCGACGGTGTCATCAGATCAGAGAGCGGAAACAACTGGGCAAGGGTGTATGAAGAAGTTAGTAAACAACACTATCTTTCAAGTGATACATCATTCAGGGCAACATAATATCAATGTATCTTAAAAATAATAATAAAGCAGTAAAACTATTAACACAATCATAAGAAATCTCCGATGCTCGATTCCGACTATGTCATAAGCATAAGTTTATTAATTACTATAACTTACTGATCTTACCAGTTGTTTTCTAAAACGGTTAGCAAAGACAAAATGACTCTGAGAAAAGAAACTTTAAAATCACCTACTCATTAACTTTCATTCATTAGCTGATATATTGGCACATGACCAAACTCCTTGCAATGCTGTCTTACAGGTGAATAAACAGGGTCGTGTTGTTGTTGGCGGGAGCGTCCATACAGTGGCCATGGGCGGATACACCTTGGGTGGAGGTCATAGTCCTATGTCAAGGACACTTGGTCTTGCTGTGGACAACCTTTTGGAGGTTACTATAGTAACAGCAGATGGTTCTATCGTCAATGCGTCCGCATCTGGGACAGTAAAAGTCTCCCACGATGGATCTGTTACACACTCTTCCGACCCTGACTTATTCTGGTCTCTCAGGGGAGGGGGAGGAGGAACGTTCGGCGTCGTGACCAGCTTTGTCTTCAAACTCCATAAACCACCATCAGCATTTGGACATTTGACATGTGTGTTTCGATTCCACAGGCAGAATGACCAAGAAAAAGCGAAAGATTTAATAAAATTCTACTTCGACCTTGCCAAGACACTGCCTAATGAATGGGGAGGTTACTTTCTTGGGTACAATGACTTTAGTGATTATACATACCAGCATGTGGTATACATTGTATCAATGCTTCACTACGGCCCTTCCTCTCTTCCATCATTTGCCAAGATCCTGCCGTTGGTAGATTATCACCCAGAGTGGCAGATTATCAAGTGTGCTAAACAGGACTTTGCTTCATTCTGGGACTATGAGAAGGGCATAAATGATGCCATCTATGTACGTTCCGCCCTGGTTACATCCCTGGTCAGATCTGCCGACTTTGATGACAACATGGCTGCCATGATACGCGATATTGTCATGGTAATGCCTACCAACACGTCCATCGGTGCTTGCACAAACACACTCATCGGAGGTAAGAACTGTCTTCAATATGATATGTTTGCATTATGATTATGATGCGTTCGCCGTGCAACTGTCGCTTTATTAGGTGTCCTCCATTTTGAAGGCAATGGTGTCTTAACTGTGTTGTTTCCAGGAAAACAATGAAAGCTCACTTACTGCCCAAACCAAAGGCTTGAGGCACTCTAACAGCGCGGATACAGCTATTTGATTAGGGTTAGATTAACCCCACCCCGATTATGACCCTCGGTTTTGGTCATGCCCAGAACCATACTGATTGGTTTCACTACATTGTAGTTTCACTACAAATATCTCCCATATTTGTTGACATGCCATAATATTATTGAATGTTGTTCAAAGAGGTGTGAGTGAGTGAGTATGGTTTTACGCCGCTTTTAGCAATATTTCACCAATATCACGGCGGGAGAGACCAGAAATGGGCTTCACACATTGTACCCATGTGGGGACTCGAACCCGGGTCTTCGGCGCGACCCCACTGGCCCTCAAAGAGGTGTACACGGTTTTGAGAACTGATATTGGCCAGTCAGTTGGATCAGTGATCATGTGGATAAAATGTCAAATCTTGACAGTGTAAAATATATAAATAAAATAAACTCAGATCTTTTACTCCCTCAAGATTCCACCCACATCGGGTGATAATTGAATGAATTGACACTGACCAATATCAGCTTTAAAAATCGTTCCCACAAACTGGCGGCCGTGGTCCTTGATTGAAAGACTGAAATAGAGTTTGAAACATAGAGCGGCCATTACTGACAGAAGCGAGATACGTTGCTCCGAACTCATTTCTTGCTGGAGAATGAATAGAATGTTCCCCTGATGTGACGTCCTTTCGGGAGGGGTGGGGGTTGCCATATCTCGACTGGAAAGGGTATCTGAAGCGATCAGAGATCTGATTGATATGATAGTGGGTTTACCCCAACTCACTTTCACTATTCGAATTTCAGTTAATCGGATATGAAAAGCCTGCTCAGTGTAAATAAGTGTCGAATACAAGTAAGTATAACAGTAAAAAGGGAAGGAGTCGTCCACGAAAAACCTTTTGGTTAACCCCAGATTTCAAGTCAATTAGGTCTATGTTTGTCTCTCTTACTGTAGGTCAGGTGAGCACCGTGGGCGATGATGACACCTCTGTGAGCCCCAGCTTGAGGACAGCCCTGGGCTCCATGTCCTGTGCTGTAAGTTGGGCGAACGACCCAAGTATCGATGCTGAAAACCGTGTTGCAGCGAACAAGCTTGAGAAGCAACTACATGGTTTGGGCCATGGCATCTACCTGAACGAGCCCCCCGCGCAGATTGACAACTGGAAAAAAGACTTCTGGGGGCACCATTACCCCAGGCTCCTTGCAACAAAGAAGACATGGGATGCCAGCAACTTCCTAACATGTCTGTACTGTGTAGGCTCCGACCTCGGCCGAAACTACGGCAACCATAGAGGGACATCTATCATTGGCTGACATTCGTGTTGAGGAATATAATTACTTGTAACAAGCATTTAATAAAATATTGTTTTTGAATATAGTTTATCGTCAGAAAAATGAAAATTTCGTCACTTGGGTAAACAGGATATTATTAACAATTCAGCATCCTCTAAAAGTCATGAAAACGTTGACAAAGTTCTCGAGAGATTAGACCACGTGGGGATTCAGGGAAAAGCTTGCTCAAAGCACAAATGGCTGTTGTAAGAGTTGACTGAAACTGATATCAGATAACTATGGTGGCTCCTGAGTGGGACTAGTACTAGAATGGGTAACCGGAAGATGTTGCCAACACCCAGGTCTGATTATCGTGTAATATAACTACGAGTCAAACATACCATTTACCAGACTACAGAATTGTTCAGTATTAGTTCCTACCTACCGAGGCACCTTCGATAAAAATCCAGGTAAGAATAGGTCCCCAGCAATCTTTTCTGTTCATAAGAGGCGACCTTAGGGATCAGGCGGTCAGAATCAGTTATTTGGTTCGTAACGTGTCATACCCCAACAGCGTTGATTGTTCCTTATAATATCAGTCACTGTGTATATACACTATAATGTCACAATACGGCAAGCATAGTCGCCTTTATGGCAAGCATGGGTTGCTGAAGAACTATTGTACCCCGGATCTTCACGGGTAAAAATATTTTAAGTATGATACTTAGTATTGAAAAGTGCCCTTTGCTAAAATCTGCAATATCAAACCATAACCATGTCTTAAAGACCGGAGACCGCCTCCGTGGTCTAGTGGTAGAGCGTCCGCCCGGAAAGCGGAAGGTCCGGGCTTCGATCCCCGGCCGCGTCATAAAACCATGTTTTGGTTCATTGTCTTGCCCGAATTCCCACCCGACACCAAACAATACTATTGCTGTTGGAAGAATATGTCCCTGTAGAATACCAGTGTACCCTGCACTAGTTATGTTACCTTAAGAAATACCTAATGGTGATGCACCCAGCCAACCCCACGGAATTTAGGACTGTACTTTCGACGCTGGCACATTTGTTGCTCTGTAACCTAAATATAAAGTCCACATTTTTATGCACTTTGGGATAAAGTCACACTTAACTTTCATCTGAAAACATGACATTGTCCGAATTGAAATTTGTATGCTCCAAGCACCAGTTCAAACGTCATTGTTGCTGTTCTGGCTTCAGGAGTGGTGATGGAATTCCCCGTGATTTCTGCAAATCAGTTGCATGTAAATGCGTTCTTATTGTCTCTTTAGAAACTTGAACCGTTCCTCTATTAATCATTTCATGCGTAATATTTTCTATGCTCATTCATCTGTTATTAGGTTAGCAGAGAAATATTAGGCACGGCTGACGCCTCGCCCAATATTTTTCTGCTTACCTAATATGACACCGTATACGGCAACTGAAGACACCATAACGAATTTATTATGCCGAGTTTATACAAAGTATAAAGTTTATATAAAGTTTACTCTTTGGTATCCATATCGCACGTGTCATGTCAAAATGAAAACTGAACACCTTACAGCCGTACGTTGACGTTAAGCGTCAAAGTGAGACTACTCTTGAAACCTTACAACCGTTATTAATGACAGTACGAGTACACGTTTCCGATACAACTCTTTAATTTCAACACAAACGTTAACAATGGATTTGTGATATGCATCCGCATGGCCTTGATAATCAGTACAGTGAGTTTATTGTTTATGGTGCTGTTTAAACTGCTGATTGTGCAGTTGTAAAAGATATACGTGTATATACGGGCATACGTGTTGTCTGTGTGTTTTTGTAGAGACACTTGGTTACACTGAAACATACTGTCAATATCAAGCTGAGCAAGATCGTCATCATCATCATCATCATCATCATCATCATCATCATCATCGGGGAAATCGGTCATGGCACACGCTTTAGACGTAACGACTATCGGTGACGTGCCGGCTGGTCTGGATGCTGGTTGTCTTGGCCTAGATTGTGGTGGTGCGGGTAGTGCTGGCCATATATGAGTGGATGGCAACGGCAGGGGGGAGGAGAATCTATTTTTCCCATTTTTATTGAGGCAGTCAAGGTACCTCCCGTATCAAACTTCTCATTATGGGTCACTTGTTGGTACACAGCCAGAGAAGAGACAGATTTGTGGCCTGTCACAGACATTATTTGGGCCGCTCCAAACCGTTTCTCCGACAAAATACTTGCCCCAGTCGCCCTTATTGAGTGGATTGTGTAGATCGCTGACAACTATGCATCTCTGCTGAGCTTGGACATAAATGTGCTGAGCGTTTTCTCCCCTAAGGCACGGTTGCAATACCACACGCCCCCCCTCGACGAAAGCGTCCTTGGGTCCTTGCCACAGACGTGGACAGTTGGGATGAAACAAACTGAGATACTTCACAACTGAAGCATCAGGGCTGTAATTATTGCCAGGAGTTTCAGGCATAATTGCAGAAAATGTTTCACGGTCCGCTTTACGGTGATTTTTGGTCAGTTCATCCTCTTGTTTTTCAACATATTTCAGACCAGAATGGTTCATTTTTATCTTGAATGTATCCTTTGTCATTGCCAGCATGTTTTCTCTCCCACGTCTAAAAAAATACAGTCTAATATCAAACTGAAACTTTCTTGAGAAGCCCAGTTGGTGTAGTTGTTGACATAAACAGAGATTGATTCAGATTTTGTCTGTCGTCTGCTGAGGTCATAGGATGGTGGTCAATATTGCCTTTTCCCATTCTCTTCAGTTCAACCAGGGCAGCTTTGAAATTTGCATTGGCATCATTGAAACTGGCATCTTTAATTATATCAATATCTTTGTTGTTTGGTGTGGTACCTAGATAGCGATTAATAGAGTGTCTGAAGTTTTCCAAACTGCTTGCCTTGTAGTGTTCGGTTTCCTCGCATCAACATAGAAATGAGACTACACTTCATTCAGACGCACAACATCGATGTCCGAATCCTGTTCCTTCTCTCTCAAGTAATCCCTCAGCACATTAGCGGCCCTCTGGTTTGCTTTCATGGTGTATTTAGCGTGTACATTTTCCCCTTTATCAGAGATGTCCTCACCGGTGCTGGTAGCAAAGCGTTTGACAGCCATTGCTGACGTCAAAGGGAGACCACTCTTCAAACCTTAGAGGCCAAACCTTCTTGTAAACTTTAACTATAATCTTTATCAATAAAGTCAGGAACGTGATCTACCAAACAGATTAATGTCCTTCGCATATCACAATTAATGATAGTAAAACACAAAAAAGTGTCAAATAACGAATTTCGGTATCAGAATTTCCATGTGAAATATGTGAGGTTGGTGTTGGAAAATCCAAAATGATTGTTACCGACGGTATACGGTTTCATATGAGGTCAGTATCAACCATTTTGGATTTTTACTGACGGTATCCAGGCTCATGTGGGATCAGTAGTTCTGCTCTCTGATTGGTCAATCTCACTTTGAGGCATTATTAATTATAGTTATTCGACATACAGATGAGCCTAGGGACATACTCAGAATTACTACACACAGTTATTCAACATACATGTACATCAAGCATGAACCAACTCAGAATAACCAATTTCAATATCATATATATGCATATATTAATATGATAATGGTTGTTTTAAATACAACAACGACTGCCAAAACAAAAAACAAAAAACTTTGTTATACATATATAGGGAATATGTCTATTCAGGGAACATGTATAATTCCTGAATTTGTCAGGGAAAATATGTAATTTCTGACTCGATTGGTTTGAGAGATGACTCGCTTGGTTTGATGGCTGACTCACTTGACTCTTCAGTCTTTGTTGGTGGGGCTAGCGCCGCCAGAAGGTCATCTTCACTCTGTAGCTGAGTGATAACTAGTGATAACTAGCAATCACTAGTGTTGTCGTCTCCCAACAGGGTCGATTGTACAAACTGAGTTTGTGGGACTGTAGCAACTGAGTTATCGGTTCTGATTACACTCAACACACTAATATAAGGACAGACAAAAACGGGGACCTAATTTATCAGTATTAAAAGCACGTAAGGGCAGGAATAGTGAACATCGATTTGTAACACTTCTATGTCTCTAGTTGGGTCCTTGTTTGATGAGGCGTTTACTTTCAGTGTCTTCAGTGATACCAGTAGCTCTTTTGGAATTCTCCATCTTGTCTAGTTGTTGGTACTCTTCTGACCCAAGAATAGAACTGGGTTTATTCCTATGTCGGTCGCAGGTGTACATTGTGAATACAAGAAGCTGAAACAAAACATCACGGGAAGATGTAACACAATTCATAGAGGGTGTGCATTTTCGTCATGGGAATTAACAAAAGTTGAACAAAACTTTATCTCAGCGAAACAAAATATATGAAAAGACTTGGACACAAGCAACACGTGCTTAAGGGTAGTGTTGTGCTTTCTGACTATAGAACTAATTTTACTTATTACGAATGCACATGTAGAACGATCGAAAATTGACTTGTGTATTAAATGCTATTTTGAGTTTTTCTAAAACATTGTTCTTCAATAAATGACATATATTACAAATATTAATCAGCAGTTAATAATATAAACATACTGTTTAAACAAATAGTCATCAATTAGGAGATAAACATACTGTGTTTTCAATGTAGAGCTAGGTTACCTGTAGATTTAACCCCGCTAAATTGAATTTGGAACCGAACGCGCAGCGTGAGGTTTCAAATGTTAAATTTAGCGGGGTTAAATCTACAGGTAACCTAGCTCTACATTGAAAACACAGTATGTTTATCTCCATTCTACCATAACTAAATTAAATGCGAACTCTTTGGTGTTAGCAAATATACTGAGTGAAGCGTCATGGGTTGAGTTTAGTGTTTTGAGTGCGTTATCGATCTGAATTACGGAATCACCGAAAAAAAATATGGTGCTGTATATCCTTAAGCAGTTTGTTTATACCGTAATACTTCAATCGAACATATGACAGGCATTGAAAGCATATAAGCACGGCAACTTGGTAACCAAACATGAGGTGGGCATCCGTAAAGAAAACAAAGCAAGCTTTGCAAGGCTTTCGCTCTACATCGCACGTCACCTTTATGACGCCATGCCGCTCATTG